GCGATAAGTTGCTTAAGAAGTAAGATACTATTTTAAAATTTTATATGCAGAGAGTAAATTTATCAGCGACTTTCTTGAATAAGTCTACCTTATTCCCAATAAGCCACTGGAACACTGTAATATACTTTAAGGAGTTCAGCGAATTGGTTTGACAGTCTTTGGCTCATCCTAAAATGCTCGAAATACAGCTCATCGTCGAACTGTGGTACGATGGATTTAAAGTACCCAAGGGTTTGCGGGAACTTAGATAAGTTCCAGTAGGATATCCAAATGATAATTGCTAAAACTGAAATAGTCAGATATCTTGTATTTTATCACAAAGTTGAGTCTGTTAAAAAGATAAACAAAAACGATAAATATTTTGTTCATCTTATTTGCATTTGCGTATAGTATCGTTTGGTAAATTGTATGGAGTTCTTCTGTTAATATAATTGCAGTTATGAATTCTATGTTTAAGAATCTCAAAGGTGCTGGTACTTTTTTTTTGGAATTGTAATAGACTCCAATTGAATGCTAGAATTTTTATAATCCAAGGTGAAGGTAGAGATGAAGATATAATATAGTATTAATATAAGAGTGAAAATTGCTTTCAGTTCAGTAGGTTTATTGCATGAAAAATTTTCGGGAATATGGAAAATTTAACTTGGAAGAGTCGTTAGACATGGATATATCTAAAACGTTGTTTATTGAAATTCTGTTATATAGAGTTATGGTAGAAGTGTAATTAAGCGTTTATAGCTGCCTACGAAGCTCTGTAGTTCACCTATTACTAGTAGAAGTTCACCTATTTCAGCTTGTACGCTATTTACTGGGGTTGTTCTGTACGGTTCAAATATTATCCTTAGGGATGTGTTATGTCACGTATCCAAAGGTTTTAACATTGTTGTGTTGGCAAATGCAAAAGCAACACATCCGTAATCAATTTTGGAACGAATTACTAATTTTTATAACATGAGTACTGTTTTACCGTCGGCGCTTCATGTTTTGTGAACTAGGTACTTTAACAGGTTAAGACCATCTTAACATGAAATAACTAACTTCTGGATATACCATTTCCAATTTAACTCTTGATAAAATATCGATCCTAGAAATTTTATTTGGTTTGTATAGAAGAGATTTTGGTTTTCAAGTTTAGGTTTGGTTTGTCTTTAATGAGTCTTTTATAAAATATTATTTTTTTTGTTTTATTAAAGTAAAACCTAAGAGTCTAACTTACTAGTTTATTTAAGTGTTCTTGTATTATTGATACCGATCTTTGCCAGATTCCGTTTTTTTGTACTCTAAGATAGAATATAGCACCATTCGCTCGGACTTGAAATATTCTTTCAGTTAAAAAATTCTTTATATAGGACAGCATTTTTTCTGGGTTTTCAAATTTTTTTAGAATAATTAATATACAACATTTCCATACTGTATCAAATACTTTAGTTACGTCATACATTTTTTATTTTTTTTATAAGATTCATCAGATATATAAGATTATCAGATGCATTAGAATCGGCATAGTCAAGGTGGCTGGCTTTAAAGTAGGTTCAGTAGTTTCTAGATTCCATGCGCTACAAAAACTAATGAGTAGAGCTGAAGAATAGGAAAAACCGCTTGCCCTAACCTGTTAGAATCTTAAAAGGACTTTTAGTTGTATACATAACAGGAAAGTAATAAAAAAATTTACCAATTAAGTCACTGCAAAATCATACATAGAGATTATAGCAAAAATATACTACAGAAATGCAAAAGTTTAAGTAAAACACTTATAAAAACACTCCTTTTCCCACTACACGATGCGTCCATCAAGGAAACGCAATATCCTTAAAGCACTTTACCGCAACCCTAGAATATATACTTAGAAAAACGAACTGGCGTAATAAAGGCCTGTCCATTAATTTATACTTTTGCCATTAGTAATTTGCTGACATCGTTTTGCATGCTAATACGTTTGCAGAACTACAAGATTTTATAATCGATATTTAAGCGAAATGCAGCTAAGAATGAAGTTGACCTAAAAATGAACTTGGAGAAAACAACAATTTTAATAAATGAACCAGTCGATGTCCAAGATTTATTGGTAAAGAACACTGTACTTAAGACCATAAAGGAATATGTATACATGGGCCAATTAATACACAATGTTGTTGTTACTCTCAGAAATCAGCAGAAAAAAGAAATTTGCTTATATTATTTTTTGGGTAAAATGCTGTTAAAATATTTAAATCTAGAATACTACTCCAAAAGAAAAGAGTAATTGATGAGAGTATATTACTAATCGTACTCATACTAATGACATACGGCTACAAAACTTGTACACTAAAGTACTCAAAGGTAAATGGAGAGATGTGTTTTACGAATAATCAAGAGAGATCGCAAAAAAATGTACTGGATCAGGCAAAAACCCAAATCAACACAATTAAATCTTTAAAATGGCAGTGTACATGGCAAATTGTATTCAAGAAACATCAAAGACCAACACGACGTTCATACGTAAGATATGACTATCATATAAATAATAATAATAATAGCGTTTATTGTCCAACAGAATCCATTTATAGGACAAAATACAATACTAAAGTTAAATGAAAAATTAATAATTCATAGGTACTAACTAAATAACACATTTTTCGAGTATTTAACATAAAGCAACTACTTAATTTCCTAGGTAGATCTCAGCCATCCTAGTAAGCTGCTTTAAACTGCAGTGAAATATATCGCAGTAAGCACTTAAGGAATTATAATAGTTGCACATGAGAAATATAGGAGAGTTTAACATGAGATTAGTTCTAGCTTGTGTATTTCTGAACGTAATCGAATTTCTCACTGGATAAGATGGAACGTTAAAATTTATTTGTCGAAGAATATCAGGGCAGTTAATGAGATTATGTAGTTGCTTGTACAGGAATATTGGGGAGGCATTAATTCGTCTAGATTCTAATGATACTACGTCCAAACCGCTACACAACTCGCTATTGCTGATGCTCCTCTTGGATATATGCCGTTAATTTTGAAAGACAAAAATTTTAAAAATTTACGCTGCACGTGCTCTATAATTTGGATGTGTACATCATAAAAAGGTGACCAAATGACAGAAGCATATTCCAGTTTACAGCGTACAAAAGTGTAATAAAGTAATTTAATTGCCTTAGTATTAGTGAGATTTCGACTATTTCTAATTATGAATCCATAAGATTTAAGTGCTTCTTTAACCTTTAAATTAACATGTTCAACAAAGGTGAGTTTATAATCAAATGTAACTCCAAGGTCTTTAATTTTATTCAAACGTTCAAGTTCATTGCCATCGATAATATAAGGATGGTATATATTAGACTGTTTCCTAGAATAACTAACTACTTTGCACTTATTGGCATTAAGATTCAAATGATTTGCATTACACCATTCATGTACACGATTCAGTTCACTCTGTATAAAATGACAATCATTAAGGTCGCGTATCAATGAATAAAATCTTTAAATCATCGGCATAACATAAACATGGTGCAGAAATTGATTCACACAGATCGTTAATAAATAACAAGAACAATAATGGACCTAGATTAGAACCTTGTGGAACCCCTGAAGAAGCTAGGTACTTTTCCGATTTCTAACAATTATAAGCAACAAACTGCGTTCTATTTGACAAGTAAGACCTCATAAAAGTCACGGCATCCTCAGAAAGATCAAAGAGACACAATTTAGAAAGTAATACGCCGTGGTGAATTCTGTCGAATGCCTTCGTAAAGTCAGTATATATGACGTCAACTTTCTTCTATTATCTAGGGCTGCTGAGATATATTGTGTGGCCATTAATAAGTTTCCACAAGGAATCTACGTTCCTGTAGTTGGCTGTATACCATGTATTAAAAATTTAATTAAAAATCCTTTGTAGTAGGTATATATTTTAGGCCCAAACGGGCTAAGTTAAAAAGACAAAACGTTTTCCGAAAACAATGTTCCATCATCAGTGTCCTAGAAAATAGTTAACCACTTAATTAAAAAGAACATAGGTTAAAATTTTGACTAAGTTTAATGAAGAATGTGGTTAATACTTACTAGGAGTACATGAATGTAGCCACCAAGATTAAATATGTGGGTAAAAACCCGATAACAGATGTTTAATTACATTTAGTTTTAAAATTATGTTATAATGATTTAGGATTATAGAGTTACCGATGGATTAGGTAACATGGCGACATGTTCAACTTCAACGTGGAGTCATATGTCGCCATGTTACCTAATCCATCGGTAACTCTATAATCCTAAATCATTATAACATAATTTTAAAACTAAATGTAATTAAACATCTGTTATCGGGTTTTTACCCACATATTTAATCTTGGTGGCTACATTCATGTACTCCTAGTAAGTATTAACCACATTTTTCATTAACCTTAGTCAAAATTTTAACCTATGTTCTTTTTAATTAGGTGGTTAACTATTTTCTAGGACACTGATGATGGAACATGGTTTCCGAAAACGTTTCGTCTTTTTAACTTAGCCCGTTTGGGCCTAAAATATATACCTACTACAAAGGATTTTTAATTAAATTAATAAGTTTGTCACAGTGGACCGATTGGAGACAAAACCATGTTGATATTGAGACAGCTGATTATATCAAGCATCAAACAGGTAGAATATGGTACAGGGAAGAGAATATTAGACAATGGTAGGACCAAATGCAGAATGGCAATGTAAGATAGGCTGCACCATAATCTGCAGCAGATGCTGAGAATAGACTTTGCAATTGTCACATTCTCGAAAAAGCTACTGAAAAATAATTTCAGTTTTCTAATATACTACTCATATCTAAAGGTTAAACATTCTTGACCTCTGACAATGTCAAATTTTCAGACTGTAGAATTATTAAAGATAAGATGACCTTATTATGCTGATTTAATATCAGTAAAGCATCAAATTTTTCGTATTACACAAAAGAAGATTTTTACATATCTTAAATGTTCATTATGTTATAATAAGTGCTTCACCTTATCGTCTATGGAAATTAAAGTTAACAAATATAGAAGGGTAGTGGGGATTATTAACAATAACAAAAAACGTATTCAAGTGGTCCTTTTTCTAAGTGGTTGAAATCTTATTGTATATAAAGCTAAACTGACAATGTACATTATTGTGAAATACAATTCTTAAACATGAAGACTACATTGGTTTTGACTCTCTTGTTTTGCGTCGGTAAGTAATAAACGTTTTTTATAATTATTGAGTATAACCATTTTATTATTCTAAACTAATAATATTTAAAAAATGTACACTAGTTATTATGTATTTATATCTGTGTAGTTTTAACTAAATATTTCTTAATTGTTCTTGTGTTTCAAACTGGATATATTGAGTATCTCTGGGTCAGAAACCAAGAAAGCTATTCTAAGATGAAAATAAAACAGAACTGTTAAATCTAAATATATACAACCGAAACGCAGGTAGTTATTGTTTTTACCAGCTTGTATGATTAGCAATTTGGCAATATGTTATTCCTAACTACACCCGTAGGTTGTGCATCCTAGAGTTCTGTTTCTGATGTTACTACTCGCTACCAAAATTTCATACAGGTGGTATATATTGAATTAAGCACTTTAATGTTTGTTTTTCTTGTTTCATCGTTTTTTTGAATTCTATTATTAGTAACCCTGTCCTGTTTTTTGTTGTCTTTTTATTCTACTGCTAAAAATTGGAAGGTTCGTGTTTGTTCTATATTTACTTGCTCGTTTTTTTATATTTATTTCTTAATTTACATTAATACATTTACATCTTAAATGACATTTCTTAATTTATTTGTAGTTGTTTCTCATTTTTGTTCAATATGACGATGTCGTGACAAATGCTTCTTCTGAAATGCCAATTTAATCTTAAATTTTTATAATTCCATACATTTTCTTTAATTTTACGTTGAATTTTTTAATTATTTTATACCATGTATATAATAAATAGCATTGGACTTATTCCACCTCCTTGTCTGAGACCCTTGTCTGTTGAATTTTTTTTATTGTTCTTTTTTAACTGATGAATTTTCTTAATTATCCTTAACATTTTGTTATCAAAACATTTTATTTTCTCATAATTTTTGTCTTGGGATTGTGTTAAAAGCCTTTTAAGGTCTATATTTAACAAATACATTTTTTTTCTATGTGCTGATATTTGGTTGCTTAAGATTTTTGTCATTTTGATGAATTTGATGAATTTTGATCTATTTTAATTCAGATCTTAATCTCTACGTCTGGGTCCCACTTATCATTCACTGTATATCCCAGATATTTAAATCGGTGCACATTTTCAATACGTTCGGCTTTAAGTTCGTTTTTATGATCACTATAAATTTAGTGTTTTTTGTATTAATCTTCAGTCCAAAACGGTTACCAGTTGTATTTGCTCTATTTAGCATCATCTCTAAATCTTTTATGTTATCGGCTAGTATAAAAGTATGATTTGCATATCGAAAATTTCTTATTAGTACGCCATTAATCTTGATGCTATCGTTGTACTCTTCCAGTGCCTCTAGAAATATTTGTTCCTTTGTCAGGTTGAAAAGCGGTGGCGAAAGAATACAGCCCTGTCTAACCCCTCTTGAAATGGTTACGTTTTCACTTATCATATGTCGATATTTTCTTCATGTAAGTTGTTTAATTCCAATATAGAATTTTTATAATCTGGATGACCCTAGTGTTAAGTCCAGTAAGATGTAATGATTCTATGAGTTTGTCATGTTTGATCGACAGTATCGAATGCTTTCTCATAGTCGATAAAACAGGCTCAAACATCTTTCTGTTGATCTAGGCATTTTTAAATCAAGACTTGTATTTCAAAGAGGGGCTCTTGAGTTCCAAAACCGCATCTAAAACCGAACTGTGTTTTACTTATACTGTGTTCTAACTTTACTCGTATTCTGGAATGGATAATACGTTACTGATTACTGGATTCATTTGTAGCGTACCACATTTTATAACATTTAAAAATACAAAAACTTTAAGATTTTATTTGAAAATTTCTAAAAAAACAATCTGACATATGTGTAAGAGCCACTGTTTACTTTTAGGTCTGACCGTATTCGCCCAAAGAACCCATGAGCCTGAACCTGACCCTGAACCTGAGTAAGTAAAAATCGTACAAATAAAAGTTAATTTGCCAATAAAATATTTGCCAATCTAGCCTGTTTTGTCAAAAATAAATTTGATTGTTAAAATTTCTTAGCCTCAATAATATATTTATGAATTTAAAAATTAAGGCAATTTTCGAGAACAAGTTTAATCAAATCTTGCCCAAGTACTTTCGCTTAAAATATCATCTCCAGGGACATCTAAAATAAGCTAAAAAAACGTTTTTTTTTGCTTGATAATTCTGGAAATAGAAGGTATTATATCGTTGTGGCAAAAAAGTAGACGTTATATTTTTAAGCACATTAAAAAAGTATTCATTTAGCTTTTTAGGGTTTTTAAGAAAAATCTTTGAGTTGGGTTAGTTTTATTTCGAAGATTTTTTATTATGGACTGAGTTTTTTTTGTAACATTTTTAGACCTCAATAATAATAACCGCAATGAACTTAATAAAATGTAAAGTCTATATAATTGAGTTAAATGAATTAAGAAGTCGTTTATTTTTACAGATTTGATTGCGACAACTGTATATTATTTACCACTGTTATCAAGGATTTAGTAGAAGAAAGAGTACCCTTGGTAAGTTTTATAAGTAACACTTTAATCATCAAAGATGTGTCAAATAAGTAAAAATTTATACATTTTGTATGTCTCTCATTAAAATAATCGATTTCATTACTAATAATTAAAATATATAATATAAAACACACAATTATACGTGCATGTTTTTAATAAAATAAAATTTGTGTGTAAAAAGGTACAAATATATATAAAATTAAAAACACTAAGAACTTGGTTTTCGAAACTTCCACAAAACTTATTATATTACCTTATTACTACAGCAAGAATGATTATAATCTGAAAGGTGAATGCGTATGTAGAATCTGCTTTTATATTATTAACAGCCCTTTTATGTTCTGTTATACGTTTGATAAAAGTTCTACCAGTTTAACCGATGTATGTCCATCACTTAAAGTATAAAGATATTTTTTCCTAACTATTATACCACTTCAAAAATGAGTGATCTATTCGATTGTCAGTATTCTTGGACTTTATTATCTTTTATTTAAATATGTCAAAAGACAAAATCAATAAATCCTTTCTAAAAAATTTCTTTTGATATTCATTTGCATTTCGAAAATCTTGCTAACTGTTAGTTTTGTATGAGAATTACATAAAAAAAACATATCTATTTTAAAAATATAAAACCACTGTTTATTCATTTATCAATATCATATTTGTATTACTCATAACCTTAACTCTTAATTTTTTAAATAGTCTAAATGTATAAACTTAAAATTTAAACTAAAATTACCGTTTTTCTGTTATTACAGGACGAAGTTGAAAGAGACGCAGACAGATTATGCAATGTTTTACCAACTCACTTAAGAGAATATTGCCAACATAATTTGCTCCCAAAAGTTGATAGAATCTATGGCCAGCTACACGAACATACTCCCCAAGAAGTATGTGAAAAATTGGACTTATGTGATGAATGATTTTTTAAAATATGTAAATTTGAAAACGTCTAAAATAAATATTTAAATACAATAATTTTGTTTTTTTATAATTTAAATAATGTCTGTCCCTAAAGTTACTGAAAAATTTTGTTTTTTTTTTAATTTCAACTTGCTCTGCTACTATAGCCACTGACAACGGTACTATAAAATGAGTTTTCATTACACAAACATTAAGTGTTACATTAAGAATATGTTACAATAATACGGGATGATAATAATATATTAAAAAATATGTTAATTAAAATCTAATTATATTTTTTGATATAAGTGTTCATTTCTAAGGAATTGTAGCACAGCTTTTATTTGGTCAGGGTTGTTTACGATATCTCGTACTTCACTTTTGAGTTTGTATTGTAATATTCTGACCGAATGTTGATGGCATTCTGTGTGAATATGTTTAATTGTCAAATATAATTAACAGGAGAGACGGATGCTACAGGACATTAAGTAGCCGTGTGTGAGTTTTGAATGTCCTATCCGACGTCGTCTTATCACAATGAGATCTCGTCTTCAGAGGGCTGAATAGTCAAATGTAGGCTGAATGGTTATTGTCGGTTGTATTTCGTGTAAGAACAAACGGTTAAAATTTTAATGCTGCTACCAAAGGAGTCTGGTTCTTCTTTTAGTATATGATTTTAGCTCCTTACAAACTTAAATTTTATCGGTGATTTTGGGTGATGCTGTAGCAAGTTTAGCATAGTGATCTGCAGTTTCATTACCTTCTATACCAATATGAGATGGTAGCCAAATTGGGGTGACTGTTATGTTTTGGGACAAGATAATTTGGTAAGAGTCTAGGATCTTTTGGACGATTGGATGATCGGTATATATATTGATATTGATAGAATGGATAGATGCTAAAGAGTCTGTGCATATGGCAACCTGTTTATTAGGTGAAGATGTATGATTAAAAGCTTGCAATATACTAAATAATTCGCCAGTATGAACGCTGCTGACGGCTGGTATAAGTGATGACTTAATTAGTGAATAAAAGGTTGTAACAAAGCAGCCTACTTCTGTATCATTTTTTGAGGCATCTGTGTATAATATTGGGTCGTAATTATTTGTATCTATACCTTCTTTAAATTCATTTATAATGATCTCTTTTGGATGCTTATTTTTATCGAAGTTGGTGAGCGAGGTGTTAAATTTGGGCGTGGACATGATCCAAGGAGGAAATGGAGGGTAATAAAGAGGAAGAGTATGTGTAAGAGAGATATCATTAAGTGTCTGTGCTAAAATTAGTGGAATAGGTTTTATGGTGGTAAGGAATTGGTATTGTAAATTATACGTGGACATTACAAATAGGGATGCACTGGATTAGTGGGGTTAGCAAACAGAGATAAAATCAGAGTATGGAGAACCAATTAGTAAAGTCTTTGCGAAATGTTGGCCGAAGATATATTGTTTCACGAATGACTGTGAGAAGAACATTTTTAAAAAATAATTTAAAACGATATAAAAGAAGAAAAACTCCTAAATACACATTCATTTTCAAAAACAAAAAGACTTAAGGACTTTACTGTAGAGTGAAAGCAAAAATATATTTATTTTTAGAATTATAAATTATTGGAGGTGACATAACAAAACCTTTTAGTAAAATGATGTTATTTACGCTGAAGTGAGTATTAATTTTAGATAAGTTATCTAATATATTATTACATTTTAATAAAAATTAGTCCTCGTTTTTTGAAGTATGTATTTTGTTTGTTATATTTTATTATTTTATTATATGGAAAATTTTTATGTCTTAATAAAATCAATGTACTAAACGTACTATAAATATAAAGATCCTATTTAACCTTCAATAATTTTCTTTTGTGTTAGATATAAATTATATTTTCAGAGAAAAAATATACCAATTAATAAAAGTCATATGGGACAAAGAAAAGATGCTAGAAGAATGGCACAAAGGACAAATTATCACAATCCATAAAAAAGGAGACCAACAAATGTGTAATAATTATAGAGGACTGACATTCTAAAACACAGAGTATAAAATCATGTCAACCTTAATACAACAAAGACTGGCCAAAGCGACAACAAATATCATGGGACAGTATCAATGCAGATTTATTAGGGGAAAGTCAACAACAGATGCCATACATACGGTAAAGCAAATTATGGAGAAAGCTTATGGATATAAAATAGAAATTGAACTGCTTTTTATAAACTTCCAACAAGAATTTGATTCAATAAACAGAGCGAAATTACTTACAGCTATGAGAGAAATGAGAATACACAACAAATTAAGACGATTCATAAAAATGACAATGAGCAAAACCGTAGTAACTGTAAAAACACAAGAAGGAGACACAGAAGAATTTGTTATAAATAAAGGTGTACGTCAAGGAGATTCATTATTTGCAACTCTGTTTAATCTTGCCCTGGAATATATAGTCAGAAAAATCAACAAAGGTACACTTAGAACGAGAGAGGGACAAATAATAGCATATGCCGACAATATTGTGATAATAACAAAGAACAGAAAAAAAAAATGGAAAGTATGTTAAAAGAATTGGTAGCAGAAGAGGAAAGTAATGGGATTAGTAATAAATCAAGAAATAACAAAAATAATGAGATTTGACAAAAAATATGAAAACAAAAAGGTTAGACTGGGAGAATATATATTTGAAGAAGTAGAAAAGTTTAAGTATTTGGGAATATTATTAGCAAACAATGGAGAAAGGGAAACAGAATTTAAAAAAAGGATAATTACAGCAAATAAGACATACTATGCAAATAAAAAGCTTCTAAAAAATAAATTACTGAGCAAAAAATTAAAAATAAAAATATATAAAACAATAATTCGACCGACTATGATGTATGTTGCCGAAACCCTTAGCATGACAAAAAAACAAGAGGAAGACCTTAGAATACTAGAAAGGAAAATACTAAGAGCAATATTAGGACCAATAAAAATCAATGAAAACCAATATAGACAAAGAATGAATCATGAACTACTAAACGAAATTAAAGAGGATATAGTTTGTAACATAAAACAGCAAAGGGCAAAATGGCTAGGACATATATGGAGATCAGGACCATCTACGAGAATATTCTCAATATTGGAATGGACACCAGCTGGTAAAGGAAGACGTGGAAGACCAAGATCTACATGGCTACAACAAGTAACAAACGATCTCAACAGGGCGGGCGTACGACAATGGAGAGAAAAAACCAGAGATAGGAAACAGTGGAGAAAGATAACAAGAAAAATTAAATAAAGAAAATGAGGACTTATCTACCTAGTAAAATAGATCTAGACAGCTTAAGCGGCGTAACCCCGTACGGGGTGTTTAGCCACAATATATAATATATACAAATTATATTTACCAAGTTCGAGTCCTTAGGAAATAAAATATACTATACATATAGTTGTAACTAAGTGTTTCCGAAATGCTGTCAAAAAAGGCACTACATTTTCTAGGGCAGATATTGGATCTAATCATCAACTATTTGTAGCAGTTACTAAACTAAGGTTAAAACAAATTCATCAAAAAAAAACCAAAAACCAATGTATATAACGTTGACGATATAAACAAAAAACATAACATTAAAAAATAATTTAACAATAGAATAAAAAACATCGGAGAACAACTAGAAGATTCAAAGGAACTATGAAGTAAATTTAAAAATCAAGTTAATGAAATCTCCACAAATAATGATTATAGAAAAAACTTAATCAAGAAAAATAAATGGATGACAGACGACATCTTAAAATTAATGGAACAATGCCGACTGATAATATCTAATGAAACATAATATAGACACAGAATATAGAAAAATAAAAAAGATCAAATAAATGAAAGATAGGTGCGACCAAATGGAGGATGTAATATCTAAACACGACTTATTTAACGTACACAAAAAACTAAAAGAAATGTAAAACAAATGACGGTATTATATTTTGATTTGATACAAAGCAGCAACAAGCCGCATATAAGTATTTCGATCTCTTTAGATCTCCTCAGTACGGTATAGTTACTACTCCATGGAGTAGAAATACGTATATGCGGCTTGTTGCTGCTCTGTATCAAATCAAAATATAAAACCGTCATTTGTTTTGTTTATTTACTTCATTTGGAGTACCAGAAATCGAATTCACTACGAATATAGGCCATGATGAACGGCATTTGGAATGCAATTTTTAGACTCCCTTGCCGATGCATTCATCAAGCTGTTTGCTTCGCAAGTCTTAGGGGGCACGGCGGCTTATATTCGAATTCGATTTCGCCAGGTAAAAATCGTTTGATTTTTCTTTTTGTTAAAAGAAATGTGTAATGAGGTGGGTTGAGAAACAATAATTTTTAAGTTTTATTCGCTATATCTCAGAAAACTTGCCTTAGGGTATATAAGTAAAATGCAAAGTAAAATAAAGCTAGTGCATCATACTTAAAATTTAGATTTTTTTCATAAATCAAGACATTTTTCAATTATTTTTACTATCTTTAACCAATAATATTTATACGTACTTTAGAGAAAATTATTTAGATAATAATTTAAAAAATAAGAAATAAATTTGAAACAGACAATATCTTTTAAGTTGCATCAGCGCAAGATACTCAAAAAATGGTAAAATTCACATATTTGCACCTTACAAGAACTGTGTGGTCTAGTATATTGTGTTGGGTGTTATGTTGGCGTCGTATTGCGTGTGGGTGGGGGCAGTGATGGACTTGAGTTCGACACAAATCTCCTCTATTATCCCTACTACCTACCTTCTCTTAATACCGCCCACAATACATTGCTAGTTCGTGCCCTGATGTACAGTACAGTGGCTGTATTTTATTGATGTTCCAGAAGTAAGTATCGCCGTGGTTTGACGTAATTAACTAAGTAAATATTGCATCAAGTTATGTCTGTTTCTAAGAAGTTAACTCGAAGTGAGTTTAAGTGTGCACTATTTGGCCCATCGAAAGAATTGCCGGTAAATAAGCTTCCGACGTACAAGTACGTTTTTCTTTGCTCTTATAATAAACAATATAACATCGCTTTAGAGACAAATAAGCCTATTACTTTTAGTAAAGTTGCAAATATTGTGGCTCCTAAAGTGAAAGCTTTGTATGATAAAGCTTCCATACCAACTATTGTGACAACCTACAGAATTATCCAACTAATATGTTATTATTGTCAATTATTGTAAGTTGATAAGCTCATTTAAACGTGATAAGGAAAAAGAACCTTTTTAGAAAAAGGTTGCAGAATTTAAGACAAATTCACTTTTCTGTTTCACATGGCCGCATGTAAGTGCGATATGACATACACCTGCAGCTGTCAAAAGATTCTTGCTGAGGCATGTGCATTTGCACATACACAAAAAAATTACAATAGTTCAGAACAGTACAACACTTTGATTACTGTTTTTACTCCTAAAAATTGAATTGCAATATTTTGTCTTTTTATTCTTGATACAGATTTTTTATTTTATGTTTTAACCGAACTGTGCTATCTTTGCCAATAACTTGAAGAAATTTTGAGGGAATTATAGTTGTTGCCATAGGTTCGTCAATTGCGTCATATAATTCAAAATTCTCATCGTTTTCTGACTGCTCCGTGTCCGTCTTATGTGCAGAAGAAGCGTCATTTCTGAGTCAGAATATTCTGATATGGGGTCTGCTTCTACTCCTTCGTACCACTTCTAAAGTTGATTATTGGTTTTAATGTCGAAAATATCCATTCTGAAAAAAATTAGTTTATTTATACTCTAAGCATAGACTTTAAATAAATGAATAAAACGTATGTGAAATCTAATAATAATTAGTAATATTAGGTAAAGAGTCCCGTGCAGAGATTTCTTCTCGCCGTACTTTAACCATTAGATATCAATAGGCACTTAACAATAACGTTCGTTTACCCACCACAAAATATCTATACCTGCTTTGTCCTTTGTTCCTTAATTTGTAACAAGAACACTTGAAGAACACCAAAAGAAGGTCGTTTTCTCTTAAGCAACATAAAATAAAACTTGGCGAAATAAAACACATTGTTTTCGTTATTTTCGAAACGAAGTTCGTTATTTTGAATTTCAAGGTTTAGTCAGCTTATAAAGGAGGTATAAAGAAAGCAAAAGAAAAAAAATAAGATTAATCTAGATCTAATTCTCTGTCAGCATTACGAACATTGCTGTAAAATATTTACAGATGCATCTAAGTGTTATTAAGGAGTAGGTGCTGCATTCGTTCCTCCAAACTATACATATCAATTTTGTCTTCCAAACTTCCTTTCGATTTTCTGTGCTGAGCTCCATGCAATGTTTAAAGCTATTATGCATATAAATTCTAATAATATTCCTAACTCTGTTATCTTAAGTGACTCACTAAGCGCCCTTCAAACCCTTAAAGAGATCTATCCTAAAGGTCCCCTTAAGAAACTGATAAAACTAGAACTCATGTAGGCTCAAGAAAATTCTAGGAGCATCCGACTTATAAAAGCTTCTATAAAAAATGGAGTTTTGTGCAAGTGGAAAAACGAATGGCAATTTTCTCACTGAAGCATCACTGAAACATCACTGAAGCAAATTAAAAATGACCTTACAGCTTGGGAAACCTTCATCCAGGAAGAGAAGAGAACAATTGGTGATAACGAGATTACGGACATACGAGACTTACTCACTCATATTTATTGTCCAAAAGTCATCCACCAATTTGTGAAACATGTAATGTACAAGTAACCGTTAACCATTTATTAATTGATTGCCATATGTTTGCCAATTTTCGTGTTAAATTTAACATACCTAACAATTTAAGTAATTTATTAAGCTCTAATTTTACAGCTAGTAATATTGTAAATTTCTTAAAATTTATAGGAATATTTTATAAACTCTAATTTTGTCATTCTGTAGCCGCCGCTAATAACCATTATGGTGGATGCGCCTGTAATTTTAAATAAAAAAAAATTTAAGCGAAACATTAAAAAACTATTGTATTTAAAAATTTATTTTAAAATTTTTTAAATAGATGTACATATTATAAAAACTTTTTAAATGTATCGCTAACAAAAGTCCAAATTTTCACATACATCCTGAGGTGAATGTTTGTGAAGGTCGTCGAAGATTCTGTCAACTTTTGGAATCAAGTGTTGTTCACAGTATTCTCCCAAGTGACCTGTTAAAATATGGCATAGTGTGTTGGCGTCTCTTTCAACCTCAGCCTGTAAGAATAGAAGACTTAATAATTTAACCTTTATATATTTTATTATCAAGAAATACATAGGCATAACATTAACAACTTGTGGACGTAACACAAACTAAAAAGATTGTCAGTCATATTATAACAAAACGACCACATATTGTGTTGGTATTGGGTATTTAACAAGGAATGGCAGAAAGTAAAGAAAACTATGCAACTTCACGCCGAGAAACAAGAAAATTTATTAGAGAGAAAAAAAGGAAGTACGGACAACAGAAATATCAAGAAATGAGAAGGAATAGGCAACAGTCAAATAGTTGAGCATTTTACAAATCATTGTCGAACGAAAAGAAAGACTTCAGACCCAGCAAGGAATATTTCTAGACTTCACTAAACATTCACCAAGAGAAAGAGCATGAAGAAAATATATATTTTGAGGTGAACCTACTGGTCTTCTTCTTTAAGTTCCATCTTCTATCGAAGGTTGGAAATCATCATGGCTATGCGGACTCTGTTGACTGCCGCTCTAAAAAGTTCTGCACTACTGCATTCAAACCATTCCCTCAAGTTCTTAAGCCAGGATATTCTTCGTCTTCCCACATTTCGCTTTCCTCGGATTTTGCCCTGCATAATAAGTTGTAATAATGCGTATTTTTGCCCTCTCATCACATGTCCCAAGTACTCAAGTTTTCGTCTTTTAATAGTTAATATTATTTCCGCCTCATTTCCTATCCTTCTAGTTACTTCCATGTTTGACATTCTTTGAGTCCATGATATTCGTAGGATTCTTCTGTAACACCAAAATTCAAAGGCGGCCAACTTATTCAGATGAACTTGTTTTAGTGTCCAAGCTTCCAGACCATAAAGAAGAGTAGAGAACACGTAACATCGAAGCATTCTCAGGCGTAGTTCTAACCTTATATCCCGACAACAAAGAAACTTTTTAAGTTTAATAAATGATGTACGTGCTATTTCAATACGTGTCTTAATTTCTTTGGTTTGGTCTACATCTGATGTTATCCATGTTCCTAAGTATTTATAGTTATTAACACTCTCAATTGCAGTATCTTCAATAGTCAATTGGATATTTGCATGTGCAGATTTAGTCATGATCATGCATTTAGTTTTCTTTAAATTTATCTTCAGTCCGTACTCATGACAGCGTTCATTAAGGCGTTGCATTACGTTCTGTAAATCATTGTTGTTATCCGTAATTATTACTGTATCGTCTGCAAAACGTAAGTTATTCAAAACTTCTCCATTGATAGATATACCTTCTCTTGAGTCTGAGAGCGCTTCTTGAAATACCGCTTCACTGTAGACATTGAAAAGTAGTGGGGACAGCACGCAACCCTGGCGGACTCCTCTCTGTATTTTGATATTTTCGGTGTACTGGCTGTCAACTCTTACCTTGGCAGTTTGATTCCAATATAAATTAGATATAATTTTCAGATCACGACTGTCAATATTTTTGCTTTTTAATATATCTACAAGCTTTTAATGTTGAACTTTATCAAATGCCTTTTCAAAGTCTACAAAACATAAGTACATATCCTGATTCATGTCCATGCATCTCTGAGCCAGCACATTCAAGCCGAACAAAGCATCTCTTGTACTCATACCATTTCTAAAGCCAAATTGTGTGTCACTAATCTCATATTCAAGAGTTTTAACAATTCTGCTGTGAATTATTTTCAAAAATGTTTTAAGTGTGTGACTCATTAAAGCTATTGTTCTGTGGTCTGAGCAAGTTGTTGAACTTGGTTTTTTGGGAATTGCTACAAAGGTTGATTGCAGCCATTGTCTGGGATTGTGGCAGTCTGATATATTAGATTAAAGAGTTCAACCATTACATCAATAACATCTTCATCGATGAGTTTTAATAATTTGATGGGCACCTCATCTGGTCCAGTGGCTTTACCCCCTTTTGTGTTTTTGATGGCATAGATGACTTCTTCTCTTAATATTGGTGGTCCAGTATCTTCGGTGATTTCTAATGACAGTTCTTCTCTTTCATCATTAAATAGTTGTTGAATGTAATTGGTCCAGTGACATAATCTCTCCTTCATATCAGTAATAATATTTCCTTTATCATTTTTAAGGATATTCGTTTTTCGTACGCTTTCGAGAACCTGTCATTTCTTTGATTTTTTTGTGTAAATTAAAGCTATCGTACTTTTTATCCAGATCTTCTATTTCCTTGCATCTATCGGAGAGCCACCTCTCTTTTGCCTCTCGAATTTTCTTTCTGATGTTTCTCTGAATTTCTTTGTATTTATTCAGGTCTTTTGCTTTATGTTTTCTTCGTTCTTCCATGAGTTCAAGAATTTCTACTGTCATCCAAGGTTTTGTTTTTTTCTTTAAGTGGTTTGAGGGTTTCTTTTCCAACTGACACAAGGGCATGTTGAATTTTTCCCCATTTTTTGGTCAACAGTTAGAGTTTCTGCATTATCTTCTTTGACTTTCCTTAAGCTCTCGTTTATTTTAAATTTGGTTTCCACATATGTGTTGAACCTACTGGTAAAGAACTCTAAAATATATGAAACATTACAAGCAATTAACAAATTGAAGAACGCAAAAGCTCCAGGCTCTGACAATATACTGGCTGAATTCCTTAATTACCGATTGCTCTAATTACATAAGCATCCTTCTGATTAATACTGCATATAAAATCTTATAGAACATCATAAGTAGGCTGACAATGTTTGTAGAAAATTTCATGGGGGAATACCTTTTCATAGATAATAATAATCTATTCATAGATTTCCGGCAATTGTATGACAGCATTAAAAGGGATCAATACCGATTGCTCTAATTACATAAGCATCCTTCTGATTAATACTGCATATAAAATCTTACAGAACATCATAAGTAGGCTGACAATGTTTATAGAAAATTTCATGGGGGAATACCTTTTCATAGATAATAATAATCTATTCATAGATATCCGGCGATTGTACGGCAGCATTAAAAGGTATCAGACGTGGAATGCAATGGCAGAACTTTATGTTCCAAAAAAAGTTATCCAGCTTGTTAAGTTATGTGTGAATAGCTGTAAAACCAGAGTACGGTTAGGTAATTTTAATTAAGTCTTTTTAAAAGAGCAGAACAACTTAAAAAAGAAATACTGACAGTAAATGGACCAAAATTACTACTACCATACGCAGATGATACTGAGATTGTGGGGAACACAGCCACCAATGTGAAGAAGACTTTTAATAAATTGGGCATAGAGGCAAAGAAAACTGGTTTTAGAGGTAAACGAAAAAAAAAATCAAATATTATGTGCATCAACAGACAATAACGACGAGATAGAAAAGGGCAAAATGTAACAATAAACCCATATTATGCTACTCATATAGTGCTACAAGAAAAAGAAGAAGAGTCTTTTATGTTTTCCATTAATTTGTCAGTAATGAAAGAGTTAACTTTAATGTGTAATCAAAAATTAAAAATTGAAAGTAAAAAATTTCGTGGGTGAAATAGTGTTTTATAAAGCTTACCAATGGTAATCTCTCGTGGACGTACTCCTCAATAACAGTTGCAAATGTTATGCAAGCATCGCACTCAAATCTGAAAAAAATATTTTTGTTTTATGTAAGTTTAATATTTTTTATAATAGACACCAAGTTTTAGCATTTGCGGATGATATAGTGTTGCTGGCAAGAGGAAAAAAATGAGCTACAGGAGATAGAACAGAGAATAGTAAAAGCAGCAAAGAAAATGGGACTTTACATAAATGAAACTAAAACAAAATGTATGCAGTAGATAGATGATCAGTTTAGAGATGGACAAAAGTTTAAAGTAGAAGTAGAAGAAAGATTATCATACAAATTCGAAATGGTGGAAAGATTTACATACCTAACATACCTTGTGCCTAGGTACAATAATATCACGTAAACCTAACATTAAAGAAGAAATACAAGCTAGAATAATGGCAGGCAATAGAAGTGTACACGCTCTTAGTGGAATGTTGAAAAGCAAGTTTTTATCAAGAAAGGCAAAAATACAGTTATACAAAACAACTATACAACCAATAGCAACATACTGCAGTGAGACGTGGACAATGACAAAAAATGAACAAAATCTACTGGAGATATGGGAAAGGAAAATCTTGAGAAAGATATATGGAGGAATAATAAGGGACGGTTTATGGATAAGAAGATCAAATGATGAGTTAAAGAAATTATATAATCAACCTAACATAATAGGAGTCATAAAGGCACAGAGACTAAGATGGCGAGGTCATCTAGAAAGGATGCCAAACACGAGGACTCCAAAAAAGGGTACTAAACAACAATATAACTTTAAAAAAAGAAAAAAGGAAGGCCAAAAAATAGATGGAATCAGGAGGTAGAAAAAGATATAGAAGAAATTGGACTAGACGGCCAGAAAATAAAAAATGAATAGAAAGAATGGAGGATGGAGAATAAGTCACATATCGAGCCAGAGAAGATCTCAGTACATAAAGGAAAGAGGAAAATGAAGAAAGAACAAAATTTTTTAAGCCATGGGCCTCTAAGGCCTTTAGTGCTATTGTATATATATATATATAATATATATATAATATATATATATTATATATATATATATATATATATATATATATATATATATATATATATAAGTTTAATATACTTTTGACAACAATAAAAACCAAGTATACTAATAATAACTTACTAATATTTGGCTTCCTGATAGGTGTACAAAAACTTTTGTTTTTTTTTTTTGTTTAATAAATCTACTTAATGTACAGCTAGTTTTAAATGTATTAATAAAAAATTACACAAAATATTTATAGCGTAGACAATAGAAACAGCTGTGCAGTGGAATTGCAATAATAAATATTTAAAAAAAAGTATTTTTTATTTGAAAATTCAACATATTGTATTAGCCAATAAGTTTGATTTTTCAAATACGTGGTACTAGCTTTCGTTGACTTTGTTTTATCTAGTGGAAGCTTGTATTTTGAATACGATATCAACGAGCTTTGTAAAGCTTATTTTAAAGCTGAAACAATTATCTTTAAAATAAGTGAGTTTTAAAAGTTTTTCGCTCAATAAGAAGCCAAGTTATACTTAGAAAAACCCTATCGAATGCCCATTTTGCAATTGTTTTTCACAAAATTTATGATAATTTTGGTTTTTACCGTTAGATCAAAGTTAATTAAACGCTATTTTATTTATTATTTCAACAGGAACAATTTTAATTTTGCTAAAATTAAATATTTCTAATTATTTAGGATATATTATCATTTATACAATTAAATTGTTAATAATACCGTATCTGCCGGGTTTTAAGCCTGGTACCCTCGAAAAATTGAATTTAGGTATTTCAGGAGAAATACGCCAAGTTACCAAGAGAACAAAAGTGCATACTTAACTCCCTTTTTGGTTCCCAGATCAATATGTTAAATATAAAATACAACTGGTTAAACAGGATAATTCCAAAATTTTTATTTTTAAGGTTATGTGACTTTAACATACAAAAATTTATACTATAAAAATTTCTTACTTACTGTTGGCAATTAGTAAAATAAAAAAATAAATTATTACTTAATAACTGACTTTAGTAATATTGTTATTGTAAATGAGACACTTTTAGGTGGTTTTGAAGACAAAAATGAAGCAGTTGAGCAGGCTGTACCCTTTACCATAGATGAAATTGTCGAGGCATTGGGTTCACTCAAGACTCGTAGGTCCCTCGGGCTGGATCAGATACCACCTGAGGCAATAAAGGGTCCAGGACAGGTGGAGCCTGCGTGGCTTCTGGAACACGTGAATGCACTGCTGGAAGCACAAACCTTTCCTAAGCCTTAGAGGACATCGAGATTAATACTGCATCCCAAAGCTAGGGAAAAGTATCGCCCCATCTGTCTTCTTCTATACATCAGTAAGCTGTATGAAATTATGCTGCGAGTACGCATCGACTATATGGTTGAGAGGTCAGGTGGTTTCTTCTGGGGACAATTTGGTTTTTTGTAAAGGGAAACACACGATTTGTGCAATCGTGAGTGTACTCGAAGCATTGCGGAACAATTAGGATGAACATTCCTGAGCCCTGCTGTTATTTGATGTTAAAAACGCATTGAATATGCACGGACGCAGCACGGAGAAAATCAAAGCCATCATTTTGAAGGGGATAAGGAACAGGCAAAGTATTGAATTAAAATGTGCGGGAGCATGTCTAACACCCAAGAAACAAGTAAAGTACCTAGAAATTACATTCCAACAGAATGAAAAATGAGGTAGCACGTACCGGAGGTAGTTAGGAAGACTGCGAATAGTGTGACTGCATTAGAGAGAGTGATGCCGAACATTGGAGGACCCAAATTCGAAAAGACGAGGGTCTTACACAGTGTGGTACAGTCGATGGTCCTCTACGCGGCACCAGTCTGGAGCGAGGCGGTAGAGATAACGGCCAGTAGGAGTCTCATGACTAGAGTGGACAGAACAAGTCTATTGCGAGTAGCATGCGCCTACAGGACTGTGTCTGCGGCAGCCTTATGAAATATCGCTGGATGTGTTCTGTTGCATATTTCGGCGGTGGAAAGAAAAGAGCTCTATAAGAGGAGAGGCCCAAGCCTTACTGTGGTCGAGAGAAGAGGGGAAAGGGAAAGGTTAATTGAAAGATGGCAAGAAGAATGGAACAACATGGAGAATGGGGCACAGTGAACCAAAATGCTGATCCTGAACATACGAGATTGAGTGGACTGTGGCCACAGGCAACTGGATTATTTCCTCACGCAGGTGCTCATAGGACAAGTGCATTTTAGGGCCTACCGCTCTATGATTGAAATGGCTTACATAGATGAATGCCTATACTGTGGATACTCGGACAATGTAGCACGTACAATGTTATATTGCATAAGATGAACAGTGAAAAGAACAGAATAAAGAGAGAGACAGGTGTGAATTTTGTTACAGTGAGAAAAATGATTAAGAGAATGATTGAAAATAAATCAGGTTGGACTAACATACACAGCTAAATCTTTGCAGTGATTAAGAAAAAGGAAGAGAAAAAAAAAACTAATCTAGACTAACGGCAAACGTAAGAGTAAAAGATGCTGAAAGGTAAAGCTAGAAAAGTTGGTCAGACTGCGGAAAAGAAGGAAATACCTATCTGGGAATGATGCCGAACTAGGAGCTCGATAAGGGTCTTCTATATGCTACCTAGAACAAGACAGGGACTCCTCTCACCAGCCTGCTGATAAATAGAGTATAGATGTATATGAACGGAAAATGAATAAATAAAGATAGTACTTCGAAAGTGATTCCGGCCTTACAGCGGCTATTCCGCTTCCAGATCGCTGGATGACAGAAAAAGGTTTGGTTTAGCAGGTAAGCGTTTGGTGTAGACTCGGCGATGACAGGGCATTTTAAAGTACCTCGGGTACTATCGCCAGGAGTACGAAGAACGAATCCTGAATTAAGATTAAATAGGCATCGTCCTGGACTAAGATGTCTTTTGAAGATTCCAGACCAGATATAAAGACGAAAAAAAGGTGGTTTTTAAAAGTTTAGTATGTTTACCAACGGGTAAATAATAAAGTTATTTATATAAGTGGTGACCGTGATCATATAATAAGTTTAAATAAAATGATTTAGTTATTCAATAAAACGTATCCAAAGCAATAGTTTGATGAATTGTGAGATATTTTGAAGAAATGGTTTTTACCAAAAATGGCACAAAAACTGGCCGACTAAAAACAGCAATTACTTCAGATGTTCAGTGAAAGTTCAGTAGTACAACGAGATTTATTGTAATGCAATGAATTTCAACAATCATCAAAAAACTTTTTAAGTAATTTATATAAAAATATAAATTTTGTATTTGCGACAAATTTTTCCTTATTGTATATGTATATATTCGGTTTTTATAACATCTTACGACGTTGTCCGACTCCCAAACGCCACTGTATTCTGTCTTAAGTTAGGTGTTCGTCCAGATTTCGAGCGCTAATCGCTTTTCTAACTCCCAGGTTCCAGCTCTGTGGTGGTCTTCCTCGTTTCCTTTTCTCTGGGGGGTGATCATCGTTTCTTTAGGCAATCTTTTGTCCCCCATTCGGCTCACATGCCCATATCATATGGACTGTTTTCTCTGAATATCCTCAACTATAGTGCCCTCTATACCCATTTGTTGTTTTATCACTTCATTCCGTATTCTATCGGCTATTGATATTCTCATCGATCTTCTTATGGCATCCATTTGCGTGGCTTCGACCTTTTTCTTATATTTCTTGGTTATTCTCCATGTCTCAGCTCCATAAAGTAGGCTAGTTTTAACCATTGTCTCATAGATATTCCATTTTCGTTTCTTTGATATTTCTTTACTCTATAGAACTCCGTTCAAACATGATATAGCTCTTCGTGCTTCTACAATTCGATGTTCTATTTCTCGTTCGTTTTTGCACTACGGTCGAAGATGACGTCCAGGTATTTATATTCGTCACGTGGATTTATTTTTTGATTGTCATCGATATCCAGTTGTTCTGCTTCAGCTCCAATTGAGAGGTACTTTGTATTTTCTAAATTGATATTTAATCCCCATTTCTGGTATTCTTTAATTAGTTTTCTAAGCAATTTTTCCTTATTAAATTTTGAACTATGTACCTCATTCTATGTACTCCAAACGTATATTACAGGTCATAAGAAATTGTGAATTTAAAGTTTATCTGTGCTGAATGAGGACTAATTGCCAAATAACCGATTAAATTTACTTGTTATATCTCAAATTTTATTGATTAACTTTGCTATATTTAACTGGTATATTAAAATTTTTATAATTTATGATTAACGATTATTTACTTACTCCTCAGGCTGGGGAGCATGGGTGGTGTGGTCTGGCCTATGGGTGGTGTGGTCTGGCCTATGAGTAGTTTTGGCGTAGACGGTAAGACCTAAAAATAAATAATTTTTGTAATAAAGTAAAGAACTTTCAATGCAATTGACATATTGGCCTTAAAATATTAAAATAATAAAAACGTCATAAAAAAAAATCTAGTAACTAAACCAAAAAATATTTCCTGGGAAAGTAAATGCGAAAAACTCAACAAATATATAGGGTCAACAAGATCAAGAGAAGCATGGAAAACGGTAAAAAATCTGAGAACAAACAGAAAAGAAACGAGTAGAATGGATTCTACAGAAGAAAAATCTTGGATCGAACACTACTCACAACTTTTGACTGAAACAAGACCTTAATTCACGAACATCAGTACAACAGCATATGAACTGGAATTCAAAGAAGACGATGAAATAACAATACAGGAAGTCGAGAATGCAATACGATCTCTAAAAAATCGGAAGTCATGCGGACCACAAGGTATACCAAATGAATTATCAAAACATAGCCCACAAGTATTACGGGAATTACTGGCGTATATCTTCACCTTATTCTATAATGGACACGACTTACCACCAGAGTGGACAAAAGCACATAGTAACAACATCTACAAAAAAGAAGATAGAAAGAATTGTTCAAACTAAAGGGGGCTAAGTGTCATAAATTCAGTCTCAAGACTGTATGAAAAAATAATAAAAAATAAAATTAAAAAAGAGATGACAGATGAAGAAGAACAGAATGACACATACAAGAAATTAATGAAATTCCAATCAATTTAGAAGTTATTCCAGCTAATAATATATTATTCTCTTAATAAGTAATGATATTCTTTATAGATAATACAGATAAAAAACGTTTTAAATAAATTTTAAAAAGCATTGATAGATATGACAAAAACTAAGACGTATATTTAAATTTTTCTTTCAATCTGTATGTTTTTTAAATATTTATCTTTTAGGGGTATTGTTTTTTTTTCACTTAAATCCATAAAATTAATTAATATTTTGTAGTTGAAATTACTTAGACATAGTTTTTGGTTCATTGGATATTTTTTACTCAGTTATACCCTCAATGTTTTTCTACCATTCACTTTTATTGCTGATTTATTGATTATGATTATTTGCTGAACAGAAAAACAATTTTCAACCTTTTTTTTATTACAAGAACTTTATGACGCCTTTTACCAAAGCCTGTGAACGTATTTTTTTGTAGTTGTTAAAATTTGCGATCTTCATTAACCTACTTGTACCACAGGAGTAATTACATATAGTTGCTTAAACGAAAAACATATAAAGAAATACTTGACAAATAAGACAGGCAAGTATACTAGTAAAAAATAGCTACAATATTTAATAAACAAAAAAGATTAATTACTTACCGACGCAAAACAAAACAGTCAGAACCAATGTAGTCTTCATGTTTGAGAATTGTATTTCACAAATAATTATTGTTGGTTTAACTTTATATATAAAAAGTTAAACACTTGAATATTGTTTTTGTTTTTATTATTGATACTCCCCTCTTAGTTCCTACATTTTTCACACCGATTTACGTAAGTGATAATATTGATTAAAGTATTTAAAAAATATCGGTTAATCAAAAAAAAATATATTATTTGGAGCAAATATTCCTTTCGTTGTCAAGTTAGTTCCTACTATTTATGGGGATTTAATAATCATAACATAATAAGGAAAGGTTGATAGTTGACAAGAAAACTATTGAGTAAGTAAAAAATTGCAACTATATTGCAATCAATCTCAGATTTGATGACACCAAAGAAATTTGAGTGCGCTGAGAAAAAACACGTATAAATCTTAATAAATTGAGGAAAGTACTTAGCACAAGGGTTAACCTTTGTATTTATACCCAGTTAGAGTTTTATACGAAAACAAGAGAACTAATCTCAGAAAACAACAGCCTAACAGCCTAAATAAACAGTTTAACACGTACGTCTAGGATATTGTAAGACAAGGCTAATAGCCAACCTAAAGTTCTGCGTTTAGTGGAATAATGAGAAACCAATTTGTCCATGTTGTCTGCGCCTCCTTTAGTTTTATTATAAATCTGAATTATTTTAGGATATATTAGATCTGCTTCTTCGTATGGAATTTTATAGAATACAAAACCTTGCAAATGTGATCAGTACACAAAAAACCCATAAAAGAATATAGTTGCTTTAGACTAATAAGATCAGGCTTATCACAAATACTAAAAGAAATCGATGACTGGTACGAAAGAGACCAGGTAGCCTAGGCACTATTTATAGATCTTACTGCCACTTTCAACATCGCAAATAACAGAATACTTCTTTGTATTTAGAAGAAGGTTGTATCCTTGATCAAAAAAAGAACATATTTGATTATTATTTTACCATTAAACGAAAATAACTTCCTTAAAAACTTATTTTGATTTTTTTATTATAATTTTGTTATAATAAATATATACTAGAACTATTTCCTCAATTTGTCTTTAACATAGTTCCAACAATTTGCATGCATCTTCCGGCGTTTCTTTATCAAGCTCTTCGTATAGTTTATCAACTTCTGGAATTAAATGTTTCTCGCAGAAATCTTTCAGTTGTTCTATTGGTAGCATATCACATAGTGCTTTGGCCTCTTTTTCAACTTCCTCCTGTAAAAAAAACAAAGTGTTTTATTATTTTTTAAATATATAAAGATATGTTATGTAAGATATGTATTTATTAACTTAATAAAACATAAATAGAACAGAGTAGATGTGGTCACTGTCTTACAGAGTCTTATCATTGACTGATTTTTTAATCGTTCCACATATTTACTAAAAAACTGTAAATTGTGTGATCGATATTTATGTGGTTCCCAAAACTTGTATAATATCCTTAATAATATTTACTATTTTCTTTATAAATATTGATTATTTATTGTGTTTTTTGTATTTCTGTGTATACCTTTAATTGCTGTAATCAGGTGTACTTGATATCCTCTTCTTTACATAGTTTTTTTTATTTAGCGTATGGCTATATCACTACTATTACATGTACTATTAATTTAATATTAATTTCACTAGGAACGTTAGGTGAGGTATAACTAATGTTACATGTGCACAAATATAATAAGGTATAATTAACTTACCAATGGCACCTGCTTTTCGACGAATTTCTTGATTTCACTTGCAAAGGCTTTACAGGCGTCACATTCAATGCTGAAACAATAAAGACAATTGAGATTCTATAAAATTATTTGAGTAATTTTGAGCAAGCCTGTTATTATAATCTCTTCAGAAACTTTGATCAGATGACTTTTTTTGTTCATCGTCCACTATAAAGTAGTAAAGTGATCAGCAAACACTGTAGTGACTGGGCACTCAGCAGACAGATCTCGAACCCTGAAGAAGACACTAAAGATGATATTAAATTGTTCTTAGAATAAATGTATTGTCTGTGTTGAGTCTATAATATAACTGACATTTCAATCTACTTTGTCAATAATATTTTGTTCTTCAAAAACTACGTTTAATTATTAATACGAATAACATCAATTATGTTAACCCTCCATCTCTCGCACCTTTAGAAAAATCTAACATTTTTAAAATTTATTGCCATAATTTTCAAAATATTGCTTGTTTTGGGTTCTGCAACCAGGAATACTCCTATAAAGACTCGTATAATGCTATGTTAAATAATGTTGGGAGTACCTATTATCTCATACCCGACAGAAGTTGTTAGGCGGTCAAGATGATAAGTATCACAGATTTTATGGCAAAGGTAAAACATTGTGTTTGAAATATAAGAAATACACTTCCAAAGGTAAGACCATAGCTTGTAATATTGTTACGAACTTATCTGGAGTAAATCGAAAAGCAGAAGGCGCCAAAAACATATGCTTTTTCGGATGCTATGATCAATAATATTGTAAAATATACAAGTCAAAAACTGGATATGACAAAAGTGTTTTATAGTCACCCTAGGGATTGTCCTGCTGTAAACTACGAGGAAATGCAAGCATTCATCGAAGTTTTGTTACTTGTTGGGGTAAAGAGATCGCAACATTTTAATACTGATAAACTACTGATAAACAATAAACTGTCATAAAACTGTCACCTTCATAAAACAATTACTCAATAAATAACACACATTTCATAAATATATCTCTCGAATAAGTATAAATAACTTTTAATAATACAATAGTATATTACATTACTTTCATTTCACAAACATTCATACACATATCTCTGTTTCATTGGATCAAACCTGTCTCCTCAAGAACTTCCCGTTTACTGTCATACAACTACAATAGCAGAATTGAGTTCTCCATTCAACAATGCATAGTAGTTTCAACCATGTTCTACCATCCATCAATTAATAGAGTACCGGCATGTAAGTAATGTTTATTTATTTGCTTATTTATTAATTTATTACAATCTAATAGACTATTTTATAACAATTTGTGGGCTTTACCTTGACTGTTTAAACTTTTAAAACTTTTTATTTTATTTTAACTTTTTTATTCAACTTACTCTTTTTGAAATAAAACCACAGACATGTAATATTGGCATAATTATTGTAATTTTTAACATCTACTTTGTTTATCTTTATTAGACAACACCCTAATATGGGTTTTTATCATTTCAGCATTTATTTAACTTTGTATCGAGACCTGAAGATACTTTGCATATTGTAGAAAGCGAAACCGGTCGTCTGATAGTTAAAATAAATTGATTGTGATTAAGTCTTATTTATTATTTCTTTACCTATTTCTAAAGAAACGACTAAGAACAAAAATATCAGATTGGACATGTGCTTCGAAGAAATGGTCTTGAAAAAATTTACCATCCAGGGAAAAGTAGAAGGCAAAAGAAATAGAGGTAGATCTCCCACGCGATACACGGACCATATTGTTGCTACCATTGGCGCTACATTGTGAGAATGTGCTAGAATTGCAGAAGATAGAAAAACGTGGAGGAACATTGGGAAATTTAGCTAATAGCTTCATGATATCACGATACCTGCATCAGGTTAACGACTAAAAAGAAGAAGTCAACGACGTTTCAATATGCCAAATATACCTCGAGACTTAGGATTCGAAATAAAACCGGAGAAAAGACATCAGTTTCTCAAGGGGCGACTTCAACTATTAAACCAAGATGTTATTTTTGCCCTGTAAGGAAAACACATTTACCCAACAATATTGTACTAACTGTAAGTTGCTGATATGCAAAGAGCACACTGGGTTAACAAATTTTACTTGCCACTACTGCCTAGAAGAGGAAAAAACTTATTTGTTGTGTTCTAGGTTAATGTCTATATTTTTTTAGTTTACCTAGTATTTCTTTTGCAGTTTTTTTTTAATAATTTAAGTTTATCGTTTTTTGTGAGTTAGTAGCCAATAAACTCAACCAATAAGTACTAATGACAAATTTATTTGACCTATACCCGTATGTTAGATGAAATCCAACACGCGACTGATGCCGTATTTTTTTGTGCGAGTGATGGAGGGTTAAAGAAATATATTAGTACCTCGCAATTGCGTCCAGTGCTGATAGGCGGTAACTTCTTATTGAATTTGCCTTATCAAATATACTGGATTCTAGCAGCCATTGTACTATAGCTCGCTTTATAGTTGTATCAACAGCTTTAAGAGCATCAAAAATTGTTTACCTTGCAATTTATATTCGTTGAATGAAAGTATATATGTGCGAAATTATTTGGAGTTTAACAGGAATGGTAAATAAATTGTTAGTTTTAATCAGTGATACTTACCCATTTTTTTGGGCTGCAACGGTGAGACCTGAAAATAAACAATTCTCCTATTTTTAATTACCAACACGATTCAGTTTAATTTTATATTGTTAGGATATATAAAGCATCATTGTACTATATTAAAATTGAGACAGAGTAACAAAAAAACTACACACTAATGCAAAAAGGTGCTATTACTAATTACTTTATAATAAATGTATACCCGGAGAAATCTCAGAAGAATTATTTATAATAAAATGGTGTGAGCCAAGAGGCTTTAGGCCAAGAGAATTTATGACAAAAAAAAATCTTACAATTAATAGTCAGACAGAATATATTTAAGATACTTTTTAGAGGACAAGCAATATAATTAAAATGTCTTCTTTTCCTTCTTTCTTTTTATATGTAGGCCAATTATTTCTTGGTCTGCCAATACATTTTCGCCCAGTTGGTGACTTATCTCGTGCTATTCGTACTAGCCTATCCTCTGCCATTCTGTTGTGTTCGTTCCACCCTTGGTTCCATTTTGTCACCCGTCCATTTATGTCTTCTAAATTGCATGCATGCAAATTCTTTTGTTTTTGCTTCTAGCTTTATCCAACAGACTTCTCCCTGATATTCGTCGGAGTATTTTCTCTTCTTATATATCTCTGTTGTTTACAGTAATCGTCTCGTTCTAGATGTGTCATGTCTTGTATCCGCCGTATATGTTAATATACGTCAAATTGCTGCTTTATAGATTCTTGTTTTTGTGTCTTGTCTTTGGTGTTTGTTTTTCTAGATTGTGTTATTAAAAGATCCCGCCGCTTTAGTTGCTTTTAATCTTTGTTGTCGTACTTTTTCTCCGTAATTAGTTATATCTATTCCCAGATATCTAAACCTTGCTTTCTGCTTTATTATTTCCCATCAATTTCGATTTAAACCATAGTAAGTAATAAGATGTTGTCATGCATTTGGTCTTTTTTGCTGATATTATCATATTGTATATCTTGGCGGTTGTATTGAAGATATGTATGTGCTCCAAAGATATTATATCTTTGGAGCTGGTCTTCCTTCTCGGCGATTTATGCGGCGTCATCTGCATAACATAGTATTTGGATTTCTTTGTTCCTCATTGTGTATTCTCATTATTCTTTATTATTTTATGACCTTTACGTACTGCTAGTATTATTTTGTCAAATATTGTATTAAAAAGAAGTGGGCTAAACGAGTCATCCTGTCTGACTCCGCTTTGTACTTTTATACAAAATGTTAGTTTTAAATTTATCTTTGTTTGTATTCGATTATGGAAGTAGATGTTTTTGATAGTTTTTATAATATTAATTGGTATGTTTATGAATGCTTGATGTTTATCTGATAAAGTTGTTAGTTTATTGACTGTTAATCCTTGACACGAGGACAAGGATTAAGTAGCTCAGAAGCTGCGTTTCTGCCCACAGCCGGTCTCAGGCCCGGATAAAAGAGGAAGATTGGTGGCCCAGTTTAGCATTTTACCCATAAAAAAAGGCTTAAAGAGCCGATATAATTAAAATTTAAGTTGATAAAAAAATAAAAAGGAAATTCCACTCAATCACTTTATCCGCTCAAGAGCCTGAGAATTCATATTGTAGGATAATCACATCAGAGATAGAATTAAAGTTGCCTACACACAAGTATTATATATGTAGTTAGATACTATACAAATAACACTTCGCAAATAAAAATAAATAAAGGTACAAATACTCAAATATATACAAAAATTATTCTTACCGACGCAAGCCAAAATAGCCAAAACCAAAGTAGTCTTCATATTTGCGAACTATGCGAACTATTTTTCACAATAATTAATGGCTTTATTGATTAGGCTTTATATACAAAAGCAAATAACGACCTTTGAATAGCCATTGTTAGCTAGAGTATTAAAACTTACTCCTACTTTATTGCATTTTTTTAGTTTTATTTTCAATGATGATAATTTTGAAGGACTTGTTGCAACGATAAAAACATATTTGAGATAACTAGCACAAAAATTGATTACTTCAATTCTATGAACCGGTAGAATGGTGTATATTCTAAATATAAAAAAATTACAAATGAACTGAAATCGTTAAAATCAAGCACGTTGTTGACTTTATTTAAATTGTAACATGTATATTATAACCTATTTTCTTTCTTTTTATAACGATCAACAATATCCCTTATTATAATCATCAATGGCACCATGCACAGCCGATTTAATGAATTCTCTCCGATCATTCTTATTTCCTTCTTTCTAGAAATTTCCATCGAAAATATTCGGCGATATAATTATGATTTTTAAACAGGTACGAAAATTTATATTCTAATTGTAAAGCATAATCTGGTTAGGACATGTTAAAAAAATCCCAGAGTACAGATGGCCTACAATAGTATTGGAATGGATCTCGTACAAGGGAAGAGAAACCCAGGACGACGCAAAATGTCCTGGCTAAGAAATTTGAGAGAGTGGTTCGGCTGCAGCTCATTAGAATTATTCAGAAATGCGGCCAACAAAGTTAAAATAGCGATGATGATTTCCAACCTCCGCTAGGAGAAGGAACCCGAAGAAGAAGGATCTCGTCTGAAAAAAAAGAAAGGACGATTACGGAGAAGTTGGAGCAGGAATTATGTTGTACGCGTTTTTAAGATTTATAAAAATCAGATGTTGCTCTCCTTATTTTCGCTGTATTCCTCTGTCAACTATATATGCAAACAATTTGTTCTCTTCCTTCCTGGCATAAACCCAAACTGCTCTTCTATCGATGTCTCTCCCCTTAACTTTTGCTCTAGACTTTCTTACCCCATTTCCTTTATGTGATTTATGAACTGTATCCCTCTATAGTTCTTACAGTTCTGAATGTTCTTCTTATCTTTTTATAATAATACCATCACACTTTCTCTCCATGCATTTGTCAAGCTTTTTTGCTCACACATTTTACTTATCATTTGACATAAAATAACTTCTGCCTCTTCTAGAGCCTTTTAAACCTCCAAAGGTATTCCATCAGGTCCTACTTCCTTACCGTTCTTTATCCTATTTAACGTTTCGACAACTTTATCTCTTGCTATCTCTTGCATTATCATTTGAAATCCTGCATCCTCTGTCTCTTATCTGATGTTCTTTATTTAGCAACATACTAAAGCACTCATATCATCTTTGCTCTATTTTAACATCGGTTCTTAAAACTCTTCCATCTGCACTTTTAATATACCGCATGTAGGCTAAGTCCATTGATTACTTATCTCTTGTAGGGAAATCTTGAATAAGTAGCAGAAGTAGAGAATAATGTTTTGAAACATGGATCAATTCGAATACCATAGAGTGACAATTACAGATAGAGCCAAATAAAATGACAAAATAGGAAAAGAAATTACTAGCTGAATAAATTAAAGCTGTAGGAACTAAACAAAATAATTAAATCTAGGTTAACATCCAGAAAAACGAAAATTAGGATTTAAAATGTCTATGCAATCTTCGTTTATGTATGACAGGAAAAATTCTGTGTTACGTTAGAAAAGTATATAAGAGTGACAAGGGACAACGATGGCGTATGTAATAAAAAGAAAACGTGAGAAAATAAAGCACAAAGGGCACGTTGGATGGGACATGTTTACAGGATGTCCACAGATATGTAAAAAAAATATTCACAGGAGAAGTATATAGAAAGCGCAGATGAGGAATACAAAAGAGTGGTTGAAATAGATTAAAACTTATACAAGACAACTAATAATACCAAACTAAGAGAAAAATACTAAAAACAGAAATTAATCGAAAGAAATAAAAAAGCAAATATAAGCCATGGTCCTCCAGGCCCGAAGAGCTGTTATATAATTAGGGTACCTGGTTGTCGAGTTGAAAATCCAAATTTATTCCGTAAAGTATCCAAATTAGCTCCGATTGAAAATACCAGTTTCCTTGTATTTAAGTACAAGGATCCCTTTTGTTCAACATTCGGGTGGTATAGAGATAAAAATACGGTTAATCTGAAAAAACAGCTTTATCCAGTTTATTTTAAGTACTTTTATTTCTATTCTCAACTGATTTAGAGGATGTTACTTTCTAACAAGAAAATATATTTACGTCATACAAATTAAAACTTAACAAAAGGTTATACCTGCTGGCTCAATATCTTCTTCTTATGGTGCAGTATCCAATTAGTGGATGTTGGCGACAATTCTGGCATACTCTTCTCGATTTTGTGTGGCTCTAAAGAGTGCATGGTCATCGAGGTTTGTCCCATCCCTTATACTTTTAAGCTATGAGTATTTTTTTCCTACGATGCTCCGTTTTTGTTTTATCTTCCCTTCTATAATAAGCTTTAAGAACTGGTACTTGAAATTTCGAAATATATGACCCAAATAAACAGTTTTTCTTCTTTTTATTATTATTATTAGTACTGTTAAAACTGCAAGGTTTTGTATGACTTGTCACTTATTTAATATAAAGATGGCTTTATTATAAAGACTGGCTCGATATAAAGAACCCATATGAATGTCTGTCATCTAAATATTAAGGCATTCGCAATATGACAACAAGTGTATCAATTAGTAACGAAGATAAGAAGGTAAAAGAAGTGGAAGAGAGAGTTTTAAAAATTAAAGTGAGACATCTAGCATGAAATTGTCTACGATGAATAAGACGTACATATAATAGATTATTCTACTTCATCTCTACACTAATGAGTGCCAAGGGATTTTAACCGGGAAATAGATATTGTGACAGAACCTCTTCGGATGGTGTCATTTTGTGAAGGGGTCGAATATTCTACTCTATTAAAAAAATTTTACGTTTTATCTTCTTTAAAAACAAGACTGTATCAAAAATTTTTTAAGTTATAATAAATTGTCGCAATTTAGTAACGACAGAATTTTTATGTCTGTTAAACAGACACACGGCACAATATTTTGATTATACTAATAAAAATTGAATGAGTTTTAACTAAATTTTTCGTATTTTAGGTGTATAATAATTACAATTTTGTCAGTACTAATTTTTATAATATATTTTTTATTATGTCAATCAAATTTTAAAAGTGGTATAAGAAATGCCTTTCAATATGTATCATCAAAATCATTAAGATTTGTTTTATCTTCTTGTATTGTATTTAAATTTGTGTTTATTTGTCATATATTTTTTTAATTGTTGCTATTATTTTATTTATGATTTATTCACGTAATTAATAATGTACCTGCACGACCATACTTTGCTTTGACTGCTTTTGATTTTTAAAATAAATTTCTTCCTAGGATATGTACTGCCTGACAAAAATAACAAAGTTGTGATGGCTCCCTATTGGAGCCGCCTTACAGCTAAGAGAACCGCTTATTTAATTAATAAATAAATGACACTATTGTGACTAAAAATTTATTTTACACTTTAAATATATGTCTAACAGAAGTCCAAACGATCACATACGTCCTGAGGTGACTCTTTGTGGAGCAAGTCGTAGATTCTGTCAACTTTTGGAAGCAATTCATCTTCGCAATAATCTCCTAAGTGTCCTGGTAAAACATTGCATAGTGTTTCGGCGTCTCTTTCAACTTCGGCCTGTAAGTATAGAAAACTATCAGTAATTTAAACTTTATATAATTTAAATGCCATAATTACAGAAGAACAAGTGGTAGATAGAAGTGGTAGAAAACCAAATTTATGAGAATATCAAAATCATAAAATAATGGTGAAAGCCTGACAATTAACGGTAGTGCTTTAGAACAAATTGAAAACTACAACTATCTTGGCACAATAATTACTCACACAAACGATTACTCCAAAGAAATCAAAGTTCGAATAGAGAAAGCACGTGCAAACTTCAATAAAATGAGAAAGGTACTTTGTGCAAGAGAACTAAAATTGAACTTGAGAGCTAGGCTGGCAAGGTGTTATATTTTCTCGACTCTGCTTTATGGGATGGAAGCATGGACACGTAACGCGTCGACTGCTTAAAAGTTGGAAGCATTTGAAATGTGGGTGCATAGAAGAATCCTAAAGATATCATGGACCGAGCATGTGACAAACAACGAAGTCATGAAAAGAATCAACAAAAGAATAAAAGTATTGGAAACCTTTAAGACAGGAAAGCTGCAATACCTGGGGCCTGTTATGCGCAATGAGAGATAAAACCTACTTCAATTGATTTTACAAGGAAAAATCCAGGGTAAGAGAAGTGTAGGAAGAAGAAGAATCTCACGGTTGCGTAACTTGAGGGAATGGTACGGATTCACATCAAACTATTCAGAGCAGCAGCATCTAAGAATAAAATAGCCATGATGATTGCCAACCTTCGTCACGGAGATGGCACGTGAAGAAGAAGAAGTGGTAGATATATTAAAAATCAAAAATATTGACACTCGTAAAATAAAGATTATATTTATTCTATACTGGAATCAAACTGCTAATATATGAGTTGACAACCAGAATAATCAAGGTATCAAAATACAGAGAGAAGTTCGTCAGGATTGTATGCTCTTTCCACTACTCTTTAATATCTACAGTAAAGCTGTGTTTAGTTTAATCATAGAGGTTATGTCTATCAATGGAATGGAGAAATTTTAAATAATTGATGTTTTAAAGAGGATATAATCATAAAGATTTACACCGACAATAATTTACAAAATACGGGTTGAAGATGAATTTCACAGTCTAACAAAAAAAAATTTGTCGTGCTGATGAAAAAAATTAACTGATTTTGGTTAATTCATCTGTGCTAATTCCAAAAATACAAACCTTTGCAGCAAGATGGTGAACTTTCTCCTAGGACAACAAGGTGGCTATACAAAATATCCTTGTTTCCTATGTCTTTAGGATAGCAGGGCTAAAGACCAACACTGGAGTAGAAGCAAATGGCATTCTAGATATGTTTTAGTTTAAAGAGAAGCTAAGAATTGTTCGACCAAATTAAAATAATATTATTACAACCGTTAGATGTTAAACAAGGGCTAATAAAACAATTTGTAAATGCCCTAGACCAGATTTGTCCGTGAAATTGAATGTAATGCATGGTGGTCTTTGGAAAAGTTTTGGAAAAAATAAATTGGAAAAATACCAAAATATAGTAGAAGAAATGGTCAACAATTTTAACAAACACAGTTGTCATATGAGAGTTCATTACCTTGACAGCCACATACACCGTTTCTCAGAAAATCTTGGTTACCTTAGTGAGGAACAAGGGGAACGCTTTCGCCAAGATATCAAAATGATGGAAGATAGTCTCGGGGGATATGGAACACTCACATGATGGCGGATTACTGCTGAAGTCTTCAAAGATACTTTTCCTTTAAAGCCTTTGCAAATAAATCTTACAAAAGAAAGTTTTTAGGTGACGTCGAACAACAGATTTGTGCTGCGATGTTGGTTAGGTTAGATGAAAAGTAAATTTTTTTGGCAGTTTGGCAGACAAGTGTGATAATTTTTGTAAATATATTGTTGTACAATAAACATCTTACTTTTTATTCGTGCTTTGTTTATTTGATGGGTAGCAGCACTACATAATATCTGTTAGAAATAGGATCTGTTGTCGTATTTTCTGAAAACGATCTGATGGAGCAAATCTGAACAAAGAACAAATGGTCCCTGCCTATATAAAATTTATATATTTCACTGATATTTTTATTGTAGCAATCTTTTTGATTAAAATGAAGTCAATTTTGTCCTATAGTAAAATACTGCTCATGAAGCTTACCAGTGGTAATCTCTCATCGACGTAATTTTTGATAACAGTTGCAAATGTTATACAGGAGTCACACTCAAATCTGGAAAAAAATATTTTTGTTTAATTCAAATTAACTAAATTTATTACATTTATTGTTTATCATAATAAATGCGGTGTGTATAAAAAGTAACGTACCGTACATTAAATAAACTTTATTTATAATAAGAGGTTGAGGAGATCATATTAAAAATTGTAAAGCTTTTATTTAAAAAAATCGTATTCAACGCTGAAGTTAAATAAACGTGAAACATTTTAAATCATGGATTCTACTAAAAATGGCGCCCAAACTGACCACCAAAAACAGCAAAGACTGATAATAAATCGGTGGACTTTTTTTCCGGTGAGGCAATTTTTTCTATACAAAATATTTATGTGTAATTGTTTATATTGGCACTGACGTAAATTTAATATAGTGCAGTAATACAACAGGAGATTATCGTAATGCAATTAGTTTCGAATATTATAAAAAAAAAACGTTTGGTAATAATGTATTTAAATATGTATAAATTTTGTATTTTTGTTAAATTTTTCAAATTAAATTATTATTTTTTCCGAAAACTTTCTCTCGCTAATCATCATCATCAGTGACATTACAGCTTGTTTTGAGCGAAAGCCTTCTTCAGAACAATCTTCCATTAGCCCCTGTCGCTGGCAACTCTTCTCAATGCTTTTAACTTCGATGGATTTTAGATTATTCTCTATGTTATCTTGATACCTAAGTTAAGGTCTTTCTTTGGCTCGTCGTTTTACTAGTCATCCATCTTCGGTCAAACATTTTTCTGATTATGAATGTGTTGCTTGTGCGAGTCCATTTCAAATAGGTAAAGAAATAATAAATAAGACTTACTCACAATCAATTTAATTTAAACTATCAGACGACCGGTTTCGCTTTCTACAATATGCAAAGCATCTTCAGGTCTCGATACAAAGTTAAACAAATGATGCCGGTACTCTATTAATAGATGGATGGTAGAACATGTTTAAAACTACTTTATATTGTTGAATGAAGAACTCAATACTATTATTGCAGTTGTTTGACAGTAAACGGGAAGTTCTTGAGGAGATAGATTTGATCCAATGAATTTGGGATATGTGTGAGATTGTTTGTTAAATGTAAGTGGTGTAATATACTATTGTGTTATTAAAAGTTATTTATACTTATTCCAGAGATCAATTTTTGAAATGTGTGTTATTTATTGAGTCATTGTTTTATGAAGGTGATATTTTATGACAATGAATAAGTGTAGATGTAAAAATTGTGTGGGTGTGCAATTATTTTCAAACTTGTAGTTATCAAATTACTTTGATAAAGTTCTATTGGCAATGAGTTAATTATTGGAATAGTCAAGTGAATAAAATGGTAAAAAACAAACACTTACGGATAATTTAAAAACACTAAAATAGAAAACACTTAGAAGGGAGGGGACGAAACAAACATTGAATTTAAAAGGGGGAAGGACTTTAAAGCACTACATCATAGTCTTGGGCACAATGAGTTTTTTTAATTAATAGAGTACCGGCATTATTTGTTTAACTTTGTATCGAGACCTGAAGATGCTTTGCATATTGTAGAAAGCGAAACCGGTCGTCTGATAGTTAAATTAAATTGATTGTGAGTAAGTCTTATTTATTATTTCTTTACCTATTTTTCTGATTGTTGCATCTTCATTTCGCCTAATTACATATCCTATCCATCGAAGGCGTGCTAATTTAATATATTTTACGACGTTAGTTTTCCCAAAACTTCTGTATAACTCAAAGTTGTAGTGCCTACGCCACAAACCCTGTTTTTGGACTCCTACATATTATGCTATTTCTTCGTTGATATTATTGTCTTTGGTCAGCAGCGAGCCCAGGTAGACGAAGGTGTCCACACCTTCCAGTTCCAGATCATCAATTAATCGCTTAAGTATCTAGTTGCCTGATTTGTAGAATATACATATACTTGTATTTCTGTGCTTTTATTTTTAATCCCATTCTCAGTGCAGACCTACTTAATGATCGAAATGCTTCGATTAGAGATTCTGTGGACCTAGAAATAATGTCTATGTCATCTGCATATCCGACCACTTGTACAGATTAATTAAAGATGGTGCCGTTCGTAATAATATGGCACGGTTGAATTACTTTTTCTAGTGCAAGCTTAAATAAGAGACACGACAGTCCATCTCTCTGTCTCAGTCTATTTTTACAATGGAAGAGTCTTGAAAAGTGATTTTGGATTTTGTTTACACTCTTTACGCCTGTGAGTGTAAGTTCCGTAAGATGAAGCGGCATTTGAAAATCCACCATAACCTATAGAGGTTTTGTCTGTTGATTCAGTCGTATGCGGCTCTAAAATCCACGAATATGTGGTAGGTGTCGACTCCGATCTTAAGCGTTTTCTCAAGAATCGGCCTGACTGTGAAGATTTGATCCTTTGTTAATATTGGGTCAGTAACCGCACTGGTATTTTCCAACTGTTTGTTTAGCACAGGGGATCATCTTCTCTACGATACGTTGGACAATATTTTATATGCCACGTTAAGTTGGGTGATGCCTTTATAATTATCATAAACCATCATATCTCCCTTTTGGTGAAGAGGGTGCATTACACCTAATTTCTAGTCTGCGGGCGTTTTCTTCCTTCGTCAGATTTCGGTTACTAATTTATGCATGTGTTTGTTTAAAAAGTGTGTCACCAGTATTTTTACAGAGTTCTACAGGAATATTGTTTAAACCAGGGGTTTTGATATTTTTTAGTTTTGAAATGGCTTCTCTAAGTTCTTCTTTAGCGGGGGCGGCTCTAAAGCGTTATCATCCATTTGTAAAATAATTGCTAATTAGTCTTCTTTACGACTGTCGCTGAGCAGTTCTTTAAAATCATTCGCCCACCTGTTAAGTATCTTTTCTTTGTCAATAATTATGGAACCATCTTTGTTTTTACATGCTGCTATTCTGGGTTTGAGTTTTTTTCTGCAGCTGTTTATGCTCTGGTAAAATATTCGCGAGTCTTTTTTATTGTGGCGGTGAACAATCTCGTTTAGAGCGTTTATGTATAGCTCCTTCTTTTTACTTTTAAATGTCCTTTTTTCTTCTTCTCTAAAGATTTTCATAGTCTTCTAGGTTTAACTCCGTTCTTTGCTGGTGAAGTCGCTTATACGCTTCATTTTTCTGTTGGTTAATATATCAACATTCTTCGTCAAACTAATCTTCGTTTATCTTAGCCTGTTTAGGTTTTAAAAATCCATTAGCTGCTGCCTGGATAGCTTGTTTGCGTTTGGTCTGGTGTTCTTCTATACTTAAATTTTCGTCGATTTTTGTCAGCTCTTCATTTAAAATTTTCCTGTAGATATACCTAGCGTTTTTAGCTTTTAGCACATCAGTATTATATTTAGTAGATTTGTGCTCTGGCCCTGGCCCTTTTTAGCGTTTGATATGATATCGGCCATAAGGAATTGTGATCTTGGAATTTGTTTATGCTAAATTAGGACTGAATGTCGAATTACCATATAAATTGACTTCTAATGTCTTCAATCTTTATTGATAAACTCTGCCAAATTCGTAGAGTATTTTAAGATTTTTATCATTTATGATTAATGATTATTTACTTACTCTTCAGGCTCGGGAGCATGGCGGGTGGTATGGTCTGGCCTATGAGTTGTTTTGGCGTAGACGGTAAGACCTAAAAATAAATAATTTTGACGATGAAATAAAGAACTTTCAATGAAATTGGTATGTTGGTAAAAAACATTAAAATAATAAAAACATACAAAAACGTATTACATTTATTTAAAACCTATTTTTACTTAACACAATATCACCTGTGATAACTTAAGTAGATACTTGTGACAAAATGTCATGTTTTAGATTTAACTGAAAGGGTACATATTTGCCCTTACTTAAAGCACCGCCGACGTGTGGATCTGACAGAAAACAGAAGTCAACAGAGCATTTTACAATATAAAAGTTTTTTAACTCTGGTATTCTGCCTCCCACTTGAAACTTTTTTATTATAAGTTAAAAATAACTATTTTCGAACAAAAGTAAGCTGTTTATTTATTAACATTCTCCTTAATTAACCAATACAAATAACTCTTAATGTTTTTAAAATTAATTTAATATATTCGGCAAATCGGCTACCATGATTTTAATCAAACACACACATAAATATACGAAATTACAAAAATAATAGTGGGCAGCTAATAGTGCCCACTTTTAATAAATAAATAATTTTTTTAGAGATAATATAAATTAAAAATTCTTTAGATAATTTTTAAAAGGCAAGGTAGAGGCAAGATAAAAGTTAAGTTTATTCAAATTAACTTTATAACCTATATTTTTAAGCAATCTTATTTTATGAGTAATTTTTTTAATTCAAGTTTTAATAATAAGTTTTAATTTTAATACAATTAATATTTTCTAGCTGTAATTATTCAAAGTAAGTAATAGCTATTCTTAGCTATTTTTTACTTAATTAAACCCACATTATTTTTTTACGATTTGCTATTATTGCTGATTCTACAAAAATGTATGTTATTTATCTGCTAAGACTAAAACATTTAGTGTAACATCTTTGGCTTGGTGCTCTGAATTATAAAGGCTGTATACCTTCATGATCTATATTTGGAAGCCTCACAAAATCATTGTTGAAGGATAGCAACATCAACAGTATTTCAACCATTTATTTCTTGTTTTTTTTTCTAGTTACCGCAATTTTATTTGTGGCATATAAGATTGATGCCTGTTTACATATTTTTTTCTTTACAGCTGTTGAGAGTTGTGAGCTCCATCTACATAATAATTTGTTTTCGTAAATAATTCAAGCTGTTTCGTTTAAAGCACAGATATAAAGAAAAACTAAACAAATCAAAAAGCAAGTATACTAGTAGAAATACATAAACACAGCTACGATATTTAGTAATTAATAACAATATTATTTAACAGATATCTAAATGGAGAACCGGTACCACAGACATGGAAAGAGGGATGGATAACATCTATACACAAGAAAGGTAGTAAACAAGACCCAAATAACTACAGAGGTATTACCGTAACTAGCACACTAAGTCGACTATACGGAAGAATACTAAAAGACCTCATATGTGAAGAGTACCATCCATACGAGTCAGAGGAACAAAGCGGCTTTAGAGCAGGTAGATCCACAATAGACAACATTTTCTGTATAACCCAAGTAATAGAAAAGAGGCTGTCAAGAGCCCAAGAGTTGCATTTGCTTATGGTAGATCTAACAAAGGCATATGACACGGTACCCATTAATAGACTATGGGAAGTACTAGAAAAAACCAGCATAAATGTATCTATCATACAGGCGCTGAAAGAACTATATAGAAACTCGACATCTAAAATTAAAATTGGAAATAGAATATCCAAAGGTTTCCTCGTCACTAAAGGACTAAGGCAAGGATGCTGTGTATCGCCAGTATTATTTAATATATATATTGATGAAGCCCTGAGGCAGTGGAAGAAGAAGTGCAATGGAATGGGACTACCGATAGGAGATACGATACTCTATACGCTACACTATGCAGATGACCAAATTGTAATTGCACAGGACAAAGAAGATCTTGAATATATGACAAGGAAACTGATAGAGGAATACAGAAAATGGGGTCTGGAGGTAAACACCAAAAAAACACAATATCTATGTGTAGGCAGAGAAGAAACAGAGAACCTGAACCTGGAACAGGAGACAATTACAAGCTGTAAGGAATATGTATATCTGGGAATAAAACTAACGAGCACAGGACGAACCGAAGAAAATATTAAAGACAGAATAGTAAAGGGAAGACAGGTGATAGGAGCCCTGAATTCGGTACTGTGGCAAAAAAATATAAGAACAGAAAATAAAAAACGAATTTACAACACAATATTAAAACCAGTGTTAACTTATGGAGCTGAAGTCTGGCAATTAACTAAGAAATACAAGGATAAATTACTAGCCACTGAGATGGATTTTTGGAGAAGGTCAGCAAGAAGATCTAGATTAGAACACATAAGAAACGACGACATTAGACAACAAATGGAAATAGAAAGAACAATCATAGATGACATTGAAAGACAACAGCTAGTATGGTACGGGCACGTAAGACGAATGGAGGAAAGAAGAATCCCCAAGAAAGTGTTAGAATGGACCCCCACAGAAAAACGAAAACGAGGAAGACCAGTAACCACATGGATGAAAGGCATCTCCAAGGCAATGTCGGAACGAAATTTGAGAGATGAACACTGCCATAATAGAAAAGAGTGGCGATTAGGAACGGAAAGGCGTAGAACGCTATAAAACCGGTTTAATATATATATATATATATACAATATTTAATAAAAAATATTTATTACTTACCGACGCAAAACAAAAGAGTCAAAACCAATGTATTCTTCATGTTTGAGAATTGTATTTCACAAATAATTATTGCCGGTTTAACTTTATATATAAAAAGTTAAGCACTTGAATACTGTTTTTGTTTTTATTATTGATACTCCCCTCTTAGTTTCTATATTCTTCACACCGATTTACGTAAGTGATAATATTGATTAAAGTATTATAATAATAACGTTCTATCAAAAAACATAAAAGCAAGTCTTTCTGTTTTTGGATAGTTGGGCGCTCATTTTTATAAGGATTTTAAAAATATCCTAAAGTAAATTTAAGAAAAGTTAACAGTTAACAGTAACACTCTTAAAAAAGTAAAGAATTATCACGTAATTGGCACCACAATTAATTAAATAATTAGTATTAAACAGTTTTTAATTTTTATAGAAAAAGTTGTAACGATAAGACTACCAAAGAGAATTAAAGTAATATTGTAAAAATAATACTTTAATCAACCATGGGAGCTTATCGTCTGTACCTTGCCTAGCCCAGTATCTCAACGGTAAGTTCGTCTTGTCTTAAAATAGGGATTGAACCTGAGTTCTCAGTTGATAGCAAATAAGACAAATTTTAACCAAACATATTTATTTAAAAGAAAAAAAAAACAATAATTAACCCTGTCAAAGCTTAACAATTGATGTAATACTTATTGCTTCGTTGGATGGGCTACTTGTGTGCTCTAGCTGCTAGGTTCTCCAATGGAATGTTGTAGGTTGTAGTTCTGTAAAGCTGCAGTTACATGTGGTAGTATGATTTCATTAAAAAGTTTAATAAAAGTCCAATAATATTGTTAATATTTCCAATAAATCCAATAAACAAATGCCCAATACAATGGTTATTGAATTATTTTTCTCAATAAAACTAAAATATGAAGAACAGCTTACATTAGAAACACATCAAGAGCAGTTTTAACTTCCTAGCCATCTTACAAAGTTACAATTAAACAAATAGCGTATGGTAACCATCAAATGAAACATGATTGTTACTATGATTGTTAGTTAAATTCTGTTAAAGAGTCCTAATGCATATATAAAAAAAAACAATGTTCTCTCGAAGCTTTCTGAAATATCGGAAATGCTGTTAGAATTGTAGAATAACTATTACAATGAAAGTACTTACCCAAAGAGAATTTGTAGACGATAAATGAATCTAATAATAATTTTATGAAGTATAATAATAACTAAAATAAAGTTAGCACACATGTCATAGATAGACAGAAAGAGAGTGTAAATAATGACAAAGGAAGAAATAGAGAGCGCCAACTACTTTTTAAATAAAAAATAGTAAAATTAAACCGACGATAAACAAATTACCAAATCACTAAAGAAATTAAAATGAAATAATTAATCATCATCAATTAGCCTATATTTGGCCACTGCTGAACGTAGGCCTCCCGTAAAATTTTCTACCTATTTCTGTCTTGAACTTCTTGTATCCAATTTGTGATGATGCGCTGGATATCATCCGTCCATCTAGTCGGTGGTCGTCCTCTGCTTCGATATGCATCTTTCCTTAATAGCCATTCCAGAATCTTTTTGGTTCATCTGTCATCCGTTAATATGGCAACATGTCTGGCCCAAGCCCATTTTGCCCTGGCTATTTTTTCAACTGCATCTGTGATTCCTGGTCTTCTTCTTATTTCTAGGTTTGGTACTTTATCTCTGATGGTAATACCTAATATTGATCTTTCCATAGCGCGTTGTGTAACTCTTATTTTATCTATTGTTATTTTTGTCAGAGTCAGTGTTTCTGCACCATATGTAGGAACCGGTAAAACGCACTGGCTAAAAACCTTTCTTTTTAACAAACTGGGATATTAGACTTGAAAATGTTATTCAATCTACCAAAGGCAGCCCATGTGAGACCTATCCTTTTTTGTATTTCAGTTGTCTGATTATCTCGGCCTAGGTGAATCTCATGCCCTAGATATTTGTAAGCTATTTTTTTTACACACACACATACATTTTGTTTTTGAGGTGTTAATTTTAAGACCAATTGTTGTTTTTGACACTTTATAGACCGCGTGTAGCAGTTCTGTAGCTTTATCAACTCTATCAGATATTAAGACGATGTCATCGGCAAATCTGAGGTGATTCAGATCTTCACCATTTATATCAATTCCCATATTATCCTCTCGTTCCATTTGCTTGAACATATATTCAAGGACAGCTGTAAACAATTTAGGGGAGATAGTATCACCCTATCTAATTATACGTTCTAAACGAAACTTTTTGGTATCTTCGTGAAGGCGGACACAAGCTATAACAGTTTCGTAAATACTTTTAATCAAGGCAATATATTGGTGGTTAATGCGGCAGTCAGCCAATGCTCGAAGCATTTTATGATAATCTATAGTATCGAACGCCTTTTCACAATCTACGAATATAAGAAAGATAGGCTTGTTATACTCTGTACACTTTTCTATTAGCGTTTTTATAACTTGTAGATGATCATTTGTTCCGTATCTGGAACGGAATCCAGCCTGTTCACAAGGTTGGTAACTATCCAGTTTGTTCACAAGCCGTTTTGTTATTATCTTCATGAATAGTTTGTATGTATGGGAGAGCAAACTAATAGGTCTGTAGTTCTTTAGATCTGAAATGTCACCTTTTTTATGCATGATGGTTATTATTGCATTATGGGAGGGGGTTATGCCTCTTGTCAAACAAGCATTGAACATATTTTTCAACACATTTAGTAACGTTCCTCCTCCTTCTTTAATTTGTTTAATGACTATCCCATCTTCTTCAGGTGATTTATTGTTTTTTATCTCCGAGAGAGCTGATTTCATTTCCTCTGTTGTGATATCTGGGATATCTTCTGAGCCTACATTGTGAACTTCTGGTATTTGATTTTGATCAGGAGCTGGAGGTTTTTCTCGCTTATACAATTCTGAGTAAAAAGCTTGAGCAATTTTTAAAATATCTTCCTTATTTGTTGTAGTTTCTCCTTTTTTATTTACAAGTTTACAAATATTTTTTGATCCTTCAGTCATTTGTCGGCGCAGAAACTTTAAACTTTTATTTTTATTAATGGCTTGAGTTATGTATTCAGTGTTGTAATTTCTGACATCTTTTCGAATGGATTTTGTAATATCTTTGTTTAACTGTCTTAATGTTACAAAATTATCTGTGTATTTGTCTTTCAATTGTCTTCTTTTGTTTATAAGATCTTTAGTAGCTTGAGTGAGTTTATCCATCTTGTTTTTTTCCTTTTTCCTTATATTTTGTATGGGCGTTTCGAATCGCGCTATTTATTCGTATATTTGTCACCTCTATATCTAATGCATTTTCATTTCATCAGTTTTAGTTTTAGTTATTTTATTTGTAACTGCCTTTTTTAAATTCTGGTTTTAAATTATTTTACATTCTTTTGTACCTGGTCCACAAATCGTATTTTCAATCTATCCTTAGGGCGTTTTCCTACCGTTTGTTATCAAGTTAGAAGGTTAGGGAGGGGGTTTAAAGAGGTTTGATTTTTTAGAGGTTCAGTAGAAGTAAATCTAGATATAATAGAAGTTATGTTGTGATTTATTGTAATAATTTTATTTTGTTTAATTAAAATTAACATTGAAGGGTATAGATGTTTTTGTACAATGTAATAAATTGTCGATTGCTGTGATATGATATCTGATAATACGTAATTGTGAATAATGTTGTGGCAATGTTTTATTGTTTAATCTAAACTTTAAACTGACTTGATAAGGGTTTTGTTTGTAAAAATTTAAATTATATTTAAAGTAAAAACTGATTATCACTAATGTCATTTAAAAATAATTATCAGGGCGATTTACAAAACAAAATATTCCTAAAATACATTTTAAATAGTTTAAATACACTGTGTCCGTAAAGTATGGAACAAATTGTTTTTTAGATAAACAGAGAATTTAAAGAAATAATCCTGAAACACGTCGATTTTTGATTTTAATTTACCGTATTTTAAAATAATTTCTAATATACAGAGTGAATTGCTTTCGAATAATGACGTCACCGTCATTTTTTTTTTAATAGAACACCCCCATTTTATCTTAACTTTCTGATAACTCTAGCGGAGCTGATTCCAAAAGTATGTCCCATGTTGATTTAAATTGGTACAGGGTGGACAAAAATATAATAGTTTACAAATTCTTGTCGAACCTTGTTTATTGTGTCTTGAGAAATATTGTTTATTGCTGTCCGAGGTCTCTGTTGTAATTCTTGAATATTTGCTGGTTTTGTTTGATACACAACAATCTTTAGATGGTACCACATAAAATAATCCAAAGGATTAAAATCTGGTGACCTCACTAGCCATTTAATAGGTCCACGTCTACCAATCGACCTGTTCAAAAATATTTTATCTAGGTACCTTCTAACATCTACAGCATAATGTGAAGGTGCACCATCCTGTTAAAACAACAAGCTTTCATCAAAACCTCTAGGATTACGTCTGCTGGGAAACAAATTACGTAAATTAGGTACGAGATGCCCCCTTAAAAACTTAAGGTACGTTGCCCTGATTAAATTACCTTCGATTAAGTAGGCTCCGATGAATCAATTCCTTACAATTGTTGCCCATACATTTACCTTTTGCGGGTACTGTGTATGATGCTCACGCATCCAGTGGGGGGTTTTTTGCCCAGTATCTACAATTTAGAGGGTTAATCTCGCTATTTAACGTAAAAGTGGCCTCATCAGAAAAAATGAAAATGAAAACAACGAGGATGATGGTCAAAATATCTTTTGTACCATTTCTGAGGAGGATTGTGTCAAAGAACAAAACTCCAATCCCGATACTGATAAAAGTGATAGCGAAATAGATCATAAATCAGTTATAAATGTTGCTAGATTACTTGGATCCCGACGATGAACACTAAGAATTTTTTTAGTAGGCTTGAGGCAAGTGGTATAAATGTAGTGGTGCTATTTTGTCTCTCAAATCCCCACTGGAAAGAAATTACATCTAATAATAGAATATCATATCTGAATTCTTTAAGAATGGCTTTAATTGAACCACTAATACGAGAGACTCTATATTT